GACTGGAAAGATTGTTTTTCTCGGGAACTTCGGGCGTCGGGACTTGCGTCGTGTGCTAGGGGTGTTACCGGGGCTTCAGGGTGGTTTAGAGGGGCTTGAGAGGTGTTTTAAGGTGAAAGGAATGAGAGTAAAGCAACCAAACCCGGGCAGCCCTCGCATCCTATTTATAGGGGCTGAAACCCCGATTTACGTTGGGCGTAACTTCAGAGTACGCTGGGCGTACTCCCTCTACAAGTAGTACGTTGGGCGTACATTGGGTACGCTGGGCGTACTCTTCGGATAAGCTTTGGTATGCGTGCCTCGAACTTCAAAAATTCATAACTTTCGCATACGAGCTCCGTTTGCGACGTTCTTTATATCCACGCGTAGGTGAGAATATACTCTACAACTTTTATTTATATTTCGTCAGCTAATTTTGAACTTATTTTTAATATTATATTTTTAACGGGCCGGGACTAGAAAAGTTCGTTAAAAATCCATAACTTCTTCATCCGACGTCCATTTTCGTCTGTCTTTTCACCGTTGTACTACTATTGTCGGGATCTTCGATTCTCGTTAAGGTTGCGTCGGCTAAAAGTCGCTCGATCTCTATTTCGAGTTTTTAGCTGTCTACTGTTGTATCCGAAACTTAGAAAAATCATAACTTCCTCATATGAAGTCAGATTTGGACGTTCTTTTTATGTACGTTTACGGTTCAACATAATCTACGACTTTCGTTTAGATACCTAAGGCTAAAAAGTATTTTATTGAAATTTCACTTTTTATGCTTAACAATGTTTTACCGATTTTGACGCGGATCTTTGATTGGTCATAACTTCTTCGTTATAACTCGGATTTGAGTGTTCTTTATATTTTTGAAAATCTTGACACGATATCTATCATTTTATGCAACCCAGTTGAGACTTTTGAACATTTCATTTTTGACGCTATATTTATTATATCAAAAGTAGATTACCATACTTGACTTTAGGTCATTATATTGACTTGAAATATCGGGTTGTCACAATTAGCTACTCATGACAGTAATAAAACACAAAAACACAATAGGAATATAGCTAAACATGATCAAATTGAATGTATAATGTGTTATCTTGATTGGATCTTCAAATCTCTTAACTTCAAGTGAATTCTTCCTCCAATAGTTGAATCTTGCAGGTTTCTGACTTCTGACTCCGACTAACTCTCTAGAACAATTAATCCAACCCCCTAAATTGAATATGGAAAAGGATATTTATAGATTCCTTAAAAACGTCCCTCACGTCGTGAGCATTAACATCTCACGTCGTGAGCACCATATAAATCGTGTCAAGCAAGGAATGTGGCTTCCGCGTATTGATCTTCTAGAACCTTTGACTTCTCACATCGTGAGTTCCATCTTTGCACAAAACATCGAGAATTACCTAATAATCACGTCGTGGTACTCCATTGCCACGTCGTGGGGAGTGTAATTTCTTAATTCTTTTCCCTTTTAAGCTCCATTAAGCTCCAAACTCAGCTCAAATCCTTCCAGTTTCCAATATTCATCATTTCGGCTCCTTTTTCCTCAAGAATGTCCTATTTTGGCTGCTGGATATAATTTAACTCAACAAGTATCAAATATCTTTTCAATTAACCAAAATATAACTTAAAATGTATTAAAATAATGCCTATATATATATATATATATATATATATATATATATATATATATATATATATATATCAGTGTTCGTTACTCTAACGCCTAAGTACTTACCCTATTTATAGGGTACGTCACAGACCAAAAAATACAAGGACTAGACATTAAAAAAACTTCTAATATGCCTTGTAAATAGATACGATAACGAAAGTCCTTAAACTTTCGCTATTTACAGACTCAAAACATAAAGACACACTTTCGACTACTCACAACTACTTTCGACTCTACACTTCTTGATGTGTATTGATGCTAATAAAACTCAATAGATAGTACTACTAAATTATGGTCTAATGTTTAGATTGGAGAAACTCCACTTAAAGATAAGTTTTCGCATCTCTTTCGGCTTGACTCAAATCATGATTGCTTGAGTTTTGATAGGTGGATAAATGAATGGATTTGGCCTTGGACTCAACCGAATATTGGAGGAGTAGTGAATAGGCAATTCGTAAATCTTATTAGTATGTTAGAAGATATAACAATTACTAATGGTCGCAATGAGTAGAGTTGGGCTATTGACGACTCTGATACATTTTCCATTAAAGAGGCTCGTATTCATATTGATAGGTTGAATCTTCAGGATAATAAAACTCACACAAGGTGGTCTTTGTACGTTACTATGAACATTAAAATCCTAGTTTGGCGAGCTTTGTTAAACTGACTTCCTTCTAGGTGGAATTTAAGCATGAAAGGGATTGAGTTAAACTTGTTACTATGTCTTATTTGTTCAAAAGCTACAGAAGATGTTGACCACGTTCTCTGGTGTTGTGAGTTGGCAGTTAAAGTATGGACCACGGTTTTTAAGTAGGTTGATGTTGTACCTCCAGATATTTATAAACTTCTTTAAGTGGTCTCCTGGCTTGATGACACTCGTATCATGCCTCTTCAAACGTTTGTGTTGGAATCGATCATTTATGTAGGGCTTTGGGTGTTGTGGGGATTTTGAAACAAAGTTGTTTTTTAAGGAAAACCTCATTTAAGTGACATTTTGTTTGAAAGCATTGTTGATTGTTCTTTTTTGTGGTTTTTTAGTAGGAACAATAAGGCAAATACTTTTTGGAGCAATTGGCTCCAAAATCCTCTTCTTTTGTAATTGGTTCTTTTCTAACTTTTTGGTAGCTTTAATTATTTAGTTGTTCAAAAAATTTCAGCTAACACAATACTAAATTTCTTATAAAGGACAAACATTTATTCAGTTTCTTATTAGCATATAAAATATTGTTGATTAGTTCAATTATAGTTACATCAGCGAAATGACGACTTTTGAAACTAAAACTTTTAAAATCTTATTTGTGATCTACCATTCCTCAAAAAACATTAAATGCTTTAGTTTTTATTTTGATTGAAAATATTAATTTTTAACGTATAATAAATGAATGTTTCTAAAAATTCTAATAAGTCAATGTTTAGAATAATAGTAATATGATGATTGTTCTATCTATTTTTGAAAAGCTACTTGTAATAGTTTTAATTTATTATTAACAAATGAAGACATGTATTATGCATATAATGTTTAGGTACGGAACTTACAATATGTTTGTTATCAATTTTATGTTTAATCATATTTTTACTATGAACTATTTTATAAGGCCTTAGTAAATATGTTTAACAATATTTTTACTATGAACTACTTTACAAGGCCTTAGTTTTGATTTTCACAACGTCTATTCTTGTTGTAGACGAATATTTGTAAAACCAAAATTTGATTATAATAACTACAAGTAGTTAGTGTTGAATTGCATGAAAGATGCCACAAATTATTTTATTAAAAAAATTAAATACATTAAAATATGAAAATGCCATTTTACAGGCAACAGAATATAAATTAAAAAAAAAAATCCACTGTGTTATTTAATAATGGATTTACTATACGTATCCCATTATCGAATGCATCTTTTATGCCAATCTAATTATTATTATTTTTAAAAAAAGTAATATATATTTACCAAATGAACCTTTTTATGTCATTCAAATCATTTTATGTCAATTAAATCGATTTTTTTACTTTTTAATATATATTTTAAAGAATGCACCGCTTAATTACTTGTGGTACCATCAGTACCATGATTCTATTTTTTGTCAAATGAGATGGTTAATAACTACTTATTTTGCAAAGCTTAATTATTTGTGGTAACATGATTTTACTTAGAACATTATTCATAATAGGAAAGTTTTTTCAAAATGCTCCTTAATATCATGTAATAGCCGCATCATCAATCAAAAAATTTAACTAAGATCTACAATAAGAGTTCTTTAATTTACATTTTCACATAATTTATTAAATAGATTATATTATTATGAGATTTTTGGTAGAAGTTGTTAACTTATTATTGGTTGAGTATAAATGAAACTTACCATTTTATTGAAAAAGTTATATAGAAGAGTTTGCGGATTAATAAGTTATTTAAAAAAAACTTTTAATAAAAATAGCTCACATTAAAAAATAAAAAAAATAAAAAAATCTTTTTCAAAATAAAAAACTTTAAAAACTAGCTCTTAGGAGATACTAATGATTCTAATAGTACAAGTCAATTATCTTTTTTCCTAGTCAAAGTTTCGGGGTAAGTGAATAATTATGAGTATTTTAACTTTTCAATTTCTAATTCTCTCTAAATACATATATTTTGAAACATTAATATGTTTCTAAATACTTTTCAGAAAAAGGGTGATTCAAATATAGTTCATAATTGACTAAGTAAAATTATTGCCTATGCTCGTATTTTTTTTCTTTCTAAAAAAATACTAAAAATCAAATAAAATGAAGAAAAACTGCAGTTCCATAAATAACCCTTAGTTTTTTATTCAATTATTCAGCATTTTGGTCAAATTTCAGTTCCATCTGATTACATTACCCAATTAGTTTCATCATGTTTCAAGATAAAATTATGGATGAAATAAAATATGCAAGGGGTTTGATGTAATTTATTTGAAAAAGGAGAGTCAGTTTTAGACAAGTCTAACAACATAGAGGCTTCTTTTGCCAATTCATAAAACATAATTTAAACCAAAACCGGTTTGGTAATATAATAATAATACAACAAACTTATGAATTCATTTGTTTCCATTCAACTCGGAACGACTCGGCCTGAGTTCATTTACAACTCGTCTTCCCAATCCACCAAGCAAAAAACACACAAATCGATTCTACTTCACCCAGATTTTACACAGAAAAAGGTGAAATAGACAACAACAAAAAAAGTCTCTAAACTACTTCTAGTCTTTAAAAATCAGAATAGTAGTTAGATTTAGGAGTATCAAACTTGGTTCAACTCAGTTCGAGTTGAATCGGTCCAAGTTGACTCAGATCCGGACTCACCAGCAGCTTTTAGTACACGGATCCATGAAGCAGCGGCTTAGATTCCGCTACGTAACTTACGTGACAAAATCTCTGAAATTCCTCGAGATTGACGAACCGGCCTGATTTGTTATTGGTATAAAGTTCCGGCCGGGAAACGAACCGGAGGATCTCTTCGAACTCGGACTCCTCACAAGGTATCGTTAATGGACCTTTGTTACAGAAGCCGTATTCTTCTTCGGCTTCCCTTAGAAGCTTCTGGAACATAGGGTGGTTCAGGTAGGCTGCTCTCACGATAAACCTCCGGCAACTACTACCGACGCAGATCGCGACATGTCCCGCCGGCACATCGCTTGCCATCAATCTTCGAGAAGATGATGATGAAGAGGTGGCTCTTCTACGCCAACGACATAGCATCTGTCTGACTCTAACAATGTGGCGGATTCTGCTTGATGTTCCGATGGCCGGTGACATTTCGACGTCGGAGTTGGAGAGGGTGAGGTTTGAATTGTGTGGTTTTTACGGTTTGGGGATAAAACTGTATTTTAGAGGTAGTAGTTTTATAGGGTTTTATGTTGGCTTAAAAGACCAAAATGCCACTGGAGACTACGATATTTACAGAGATTATGTTGTTTGCCATGTGAGTCCAGACTACTAGGTCGTTCTGTAATTTTAATCTTTTTCAATGTTTATTTAAGGGTTAGGTCTCTAATTAATTTTTTTTTTTGAACGGCCATGTTAGTATTTGTCTGGGATTGAACCCAGGACCTTCTGGTTAGAAAACTCCTAGTTAGACACCTTGTTAGCCAAGTGGGCTAGCCCAACTTAGGTCTCTAATTAATTAATCATAGTTTATTGATAGAGAAAAATGACAATATTAATAGAAACTCTTCACTTTTTATTTTCCAAAAATTAATCAAAAATTCAAGGTTTTCTCCATGGGAATTGATATTTCTACTTATTTATTTTATCTATCCATTTAAATTTAAAATGTTTTGACACTTTTACCCTTATTTTAAATTTACAAAAATAAAGAAAAAAAAGAAGATAAATATGTTTTATACGGCCCCCAGTTAATAACATTTAAGCGTCTTTTTTTCTTGTTCATAACTTGCCTATGTTTTCCTAGTTGTCCATCCCTACTAACTATGCTTTTTATCCCTCAATTTATTCTTTTTTTTTTTCTTATTTATCATTTGAATGAAAGTTAACAAAAGTTCATTTGTTTTCACATATATCCATCGAAGGCATTATGTGTTGCACATGTAATGAAAATTAATTGTTTCAAACTAATACATATGGTAATAAATTATTCAAACGTAGTTCATATCAAATCATTATAATATGTTTCCCAAAAAAAATATTGGAATCATAATACCATCACTTAAAAAATTAGATATGTATTTAAATCAAATAAGTTGTTCTCAAACACTTCATTATTCATATGGAAGTCACCAATAGAACTTGAAGGGTTGTGTGTTTGTGATGATTCCACAAACTCGAATCTTGAAGGATCTCGTGTGGTAGAAGTTATTCCTCTTTTCGTTTTTTATTTTGGAGGTCTACTTTTTGGTTTACGAATCATTGGATCAAAGAACGCATCAGATTCGGTCAAAAGCTTGGTAATCATAGAAGGAGCAAATTCTTTTTTACTTAAAGGCCACGTTTTGTATCTTGAAGACAACTCAGTAAGCAACTCAACGAATTTGTTGACACCATCATTCTGTGAATCATCTTCCGAATTCAGGCGTAATGTATCAATCCTCCATTGTGGATGAATAAGATCCAAAGAAAGTGGCATTCATTGCAGCTGTTTTATCTTGTGAGCACAAGGAAGACTCATGGTTGCCATAAAATGACCAGTACAAGGCGTCATTATACCTGAAAAAACAAACAGTTATTAAAGGTTAATGTAAAATTAATGTTTTACAATAATCTAAAACTATAATCTTTGTAAATATTACCATTTTTATTTTTTCACATTGCATATGTATCTCCTTTAATGCAAAATGAGATACATGAGACAAAAGCTCTCTAAAAATCGGCATGTCACAATTATGAAGAACTTGAATTTTTTCACTTGCGAGTTTCACTTTAATCTCGTTGAATTCGTGTTTAATTACAAGACAAATCTTTTCTTTAACTTCTTGTAAGCCACCGGTAGATACTTGTAGATACAACTTGAGTTTGGAATGAGCACCTTCAGCCCTTGAAGATGAATGAGTACCAAAATGCAAGTAATTTTCTGTCCAAGCAGTAACAAACTTTTCTTTCCAAGGCAACCATGTGTTTTTATATAATCAATTTCAACTTTCTTCGTCTGATAAAGCAACTCAAATTCACCCCAATTATTCTCAAAAATAATTGTTGTAGTTGAATACACTACATTTATCCAACTTGACATAAATGTATTAAACTCTTCTGCGTGTGCAAAATGCTTATTGCAATTTGCCAACACGTTTTTTTTTCAATATGTCAAATACACAAAAGGTTTGTCGTGTTCGGAAATACCATCTTTATAGCATTCATTAATGTCAACTCTCTATCAGACATAATAACAGACGATTCACGATTTTCAAGAGTTTTCTTAAACACACTTAATGCCCAAATATAACTATCTTCATCCTCTTTTCCAAAAAAACAAACCCATAATAAAAAGAGGTATGAAAGCATGAAACCCCAATGATATCAAGGAGATGCATGTTATACTTGTTTGTTTTGTATGTGCAATCCATAACAAAGATAGTTGAGAAGGCTTTGGCGAGTATAATTGACACGTGATGTGCAATGAAAAAATGGGTTATATGCCCTACTTCATTATGTAAAATATCATAAATAAAACCCTCATTTTCAAGCTCTTCAAATAAGGCACTAACCATTGAAAGATTTTTCATGTTTTCCTTGCAGATTTTCATATTCAGATTGTATATAGTTCAAGAATTTGTTGGAAGGTTTCGGTTTTTTGCCACAAATAAGAAATAATTAGCCTTGGGGGTATGCCAGAAAGCGACATGTTTTTGACACTTTGTACGCCATCTGATGATAATCGACGAAATGATGGATGCCCAACATATCAGTAGATGGTTCATGGTTATGAGTCAAGTTTTTAGCATTAATTGCCCAAAAACCATCAATTCCTTTTTTACCTACAATATGGAAGGGGCATTTGATCAAACGAGATCCGATGTTCCTCTTTCTTTTATTGCCAATACACAATCTATCTCGATAGGAACCGCCTCGGTCACATTGCAACTTGACATATTTGTCTTTACTTAAATCTCGAATAGATAATGCATATCCTTTAGCGTAATAAAAGTCTCGTACATTCTTTAGTAATTCATCATATGATTCAAATTTGGAGTTAGCTAAATAGAGTTCTTAATTTTCTATCATAGGACTTGATGAATCCATTCCAATAGTGACTAAAGCATAGTATAAAACATAAATCAAGTTAGTAGTTAGTGTATGTTGTCTTTAACATAATATAAAACATAAATCAAGTAGGCTATCACTTTTACTTCAGGTTCATGCAAAAAAATAAGCTTTTACATGATGTTTACATTTGTACTGTACAAATTATTTCACCCTTCATATATACATGTTGTTTATCTATTATAAGGTCAATTTTTACTTCACATTCATGCAAAAGAAATAAGAAACCAAGGAAATATGGAAATTCCTTCTCTTTCTTAGCTAAAAGCCTAAAAATATTTGCTAAAAGCCTAAAAATATAGTTATTGAACACACTTCACAGAGACCATGACAATGCATTGAATCATGTACACAAACAAATTGATTCTTTTTTACAATTTACATTTTAGCTCTTTATACATGTAAATTTTCTACAATGGCATAACATTAATTTATTTCACAACCCTACTATGGGAACATATATATTTAAATGTTAAATGCCCTTAACTCTCTAGCCTGTAAAACCTAAAGCCTAATAAAATCCGATTAATTAATTTTGGACATCAATGCTTTGATGAATATTATCACCATCTATTAGAGACAAATGAATACACTTGTGAAAAACTTATGAATGATATGCATAAATGTGGTATAATATACACATAAGAACCGTAATATAATCAAGATAAATCAGTAATATAATGAAGATTAATTAGCAATATATTCAACACTTGTGATTATGTTATGTTCTTAAATTAGGGCTCTAACTTCTTCAGTACCGGCAACCGACAAAGGAAGAAGAAGCAGCGACAGTTTTTGAACGGTGACTACGAATAGGGTTGGCAATTGATGACACGACACGAGAAAAAAACACGACACAAAATGAAATTGGGACAAAACTGAAATTCGTATTCGTGTTCGTGTCGTGTTCGTGTCAAGTATAAAAAACACGACGTCGTGTCGTGTCGTGTCGTGTTCGTGTTCAAAATTCGACACGAAATCGACACGATTTAGCATTTGTCAGTCGTGTTTTTTGTGTTTGTCGTGTTTGTCATGTTATGTATGATTAAATATTAATTAAATAAATTAATTATTATATTATGCCATCTTTGTCGTGTCATGTCGTGTTTGTTGTTTTTTAACCGGTTCGTTTCGTGTTAGTTGAAAAAAACACTACATCGTGTCGTGTCGTGTTCGTGTTACAAAAAAATTTGTCGTGTCGTGTCGTGACAGACAAAAACACGACACGATAGCCTGATTTGCCACCCCTAACTACGAAGGAGAATCAGCCGTCGTTTGGAAAGAAGAATCGCGTTGATCACGTCGTTAGGTATTCTTATCAATCTCCATATTTTGTAAATTTTAAATAAGGGCATAATGGTCAAAATATTTTAAAGTGGATTGATAAATTATACAAGTGAAAATATCATCACCCTTTCTCCATATAACCATCATTTTCACATGTCCACCTCTAAAATCTATTATTTAAGATTATATTATGGAATCCGCAGGCATACAGTGAAAATAGGGTAGCTTAGTTATGAAAATCAATTTGTAGGGCTACTTAAGGTTTTGAAAACCGAATCGGAGACCAAACCGACCGTCTTACTAGTTCGATGGCTCAACTGGTCCAACCGGTCGGGCCGATCTCAGAAACCGGAAAAACCAAATGATTTTATAATTACATCATTGTTAATTTTAGTTATATAAAAAAGGAAAAAATATTTTTTTTCAAATTTCCCAATTTTACCGGTTCAACTAGACCGGTTTTTACCGGTTCACAACACGAACGGTTTTTTGGCCTCTAAGAACCGGATCTAGGATCGGTTCCCGGTTAAACTAGTTGAACCGGCCGGTCCGGTCCGGTTTTCAAAACATGAGGGCTACTTGAGAAAATCATTTTTGTAGTGCATATTGTGAAAATAAATGTAGCTTGTGAAAATAGTGCACAACATGTGAAGATAGTGTTATAGCATCGCTTTTGATGCCCGTATGTAATACCCATTTTTCACAACATGTATTATTGTTTAAGAATGGACAGGGTTCGAGGAAGAAGGTGGTAT